GTCTCTGAGTCAGTCGACCTGAGGCAGTGAGGTTGGTGTGTGTGGGGGGGGCGGCCCCACAAGGGCTGCTCCCTGCAGGCTCAGCAGCTCAAGCCCCCCAGCTGCTCCGTAGAATAGAGAGGTGGCTGTTGACTCCTCCTTTAAAATTGTTTTAAGTCTCAAAAACTCCAAAAGGTCAGTTCTACTCTGTCCATATTTCTTTTTCCTAATCTATTAAAATAAAAGTAGTACTAACACTTCTGGAGGATCTTCTGACATATAAATGATGAATATTTTAATAGGGCTGGGCACATTTTCAGTACTCCATCCATTACTGTTTATTTGTATTGCATTTATAAGAAGACATGCGTGTGCTGGGTTGAACAAACGGTTTGTGTTTCGCTGCTCATTACAAGTCTGGCACTTGGAACTCCCAGTAGTGGTTGCACAGAGGGAAAGCCCGTCAGTCCGCTTCTGTAAAGACGAAAAGCCCCAAACCAAGTCCCTGCCTTCAACTTGAGGTGACCGTAAAGGACAGAGGAACTACCCTACCAAAAGGGCCTTCTGGGGTGCAAAATCGGGGTGGGGGCCATCTCTGTCCTCGTTTGGCTACTCAAGGCAGAAAGGGCATCAACTCCGCACCAGTGCAGGGCCTGTTGCTTGAGGCAGTGGTCAGACATGGCCCCACCGTCCATCAGTCTCTACCCTATTCTAACACCAACCTTTTCTCCCAGGACACTCTTTATTTTTCTGCTAGGGTCAGTCATTTGTTTCAATGGTCACACAGAACGCAACCGACAATACTCACAATTAAGGAGGTTTATTTAGGAAGTTGGAGCCGTGATTACATAATGGTTATGCAATGGGCTGTCAACTTCACGGGTAGCAGTTTGAAACTACCAATTGCTCCAAGGGAGAAAGACAGCACTTTGTACTCATAAAGAGTTAGTCTTGGAAACCCACAGGGGCCGTTCTACCCTGTCCTTTGGGGGTTTGCCATGAGTTGGCACCGACTTGATGGCAATGAGTTTGTTTTTATTGGGGGAGTGAGCAGTATACCACAAGTCAGGATCAGTAAACGATAAGGATGTAGTCACTAGTCCACAGTAACACCACTGCTGAGCCAGTAGTCGAGCATCTTTCCAGTCTTCAGTTTCTCAACCATGTGGTTCTTAGTCCTCTGACTCCATAGACCAGAAAGCCAGATCATTGCTCCATCTCTCAGTCTCTAGATTCAGTGCTGCTCCTATGTTCTGGCTCATGGTCTCCTTGCCTCAGCTTCTGGACGCAGTCTAGCTCCTTTGCTCTATCTCATGTCTCCGTGCTGTAGCCTCATGTGCCTCTGATCTTGTTCTCCAGCATTTCAGACAGGGATCTCAAAAATGCCCACTGGTGATTCTTCATCCTTGATGGACTTTGATTTCTCTCCCTCCCTGCTTCTGTGATGGTCTTTCATATGGAGATATGGTTTTTGTCTATCAGCAGACCCCCGAGGAGACTAAGGAGGATGGCTACTCCAGTAGCGTGGAGACTCATCTTAGTCCTACCCACTAACATAAAGGAGAGCTCCTTCCAAAATGGAATCAAAACTAGAGGCATAGAGGCTAGAATTTACAGCACATCTTAAAAGGTATTATGGCTCGAAGGGCTGTTTTAATTGATTACATCTCACAAGGCTGTGGTCTAAGGCCTGTGGTCTTAGGGACAATAGGTTGCTCTACATTCAGTTGGCACACATTTAAATACATGCTTGTTTTCAAGAAATAGAAGCTATCTGTTGAAGGAGGTGACTATATACTTAAATGGTTTTAGACTTAATAATTGAGGTGTAAAAAAAAACCCACACCCTTTGCTACTTTATATAATCAATATTATCTAACAGTCAAATTCATGATTGAGTTGGTACACCTCTCCAACCATTCCTTGAACCTCTTCCCTTATTGTTTGAGCCTCTCAAGCCTCTTTTCAAACCTTCAGTCACATCAGTGCCGTACCCCCGGGAAATGTTTGCCATTGCTTTTCTCCCTGGGCTGGCTCCTGTGCTCTGTCTCATTGTCTCTGTGCCAGGATATTTATAAATACTTGGGAGGGAATAATGATCAATGGTGTTCATTCACGACACTGAAAATGGATCATTTCAAAGGAGCAAGATTTACTAATTCCATTTGTTTCCTTAATATTGATTTTTGGTTTGTTTGGGTCAAGCAACATTTATCTTTTGGGAAAAAATGTATGGAAATAAAGCAGTGAAGGTCAGAACTTCTCTAAAAAGTCAATTACATTTTCCGTAGTATATTATTTACTCAGCCTGCTGGCTGCTTGACTGATCATATCTTTATACTGTTTAACAAGTGAGCCATTTATTAAATTATAATAACTCAGGAATTAAGTACAGATCAGTATTTATGGGTAATAGGAATATTATCTACTTAATATCAAGAAAGCTTGACTTGATTTAAACAAGCCTAATTACCTAAGCAAATACCCAGCTGCTTTATAAACACCATCATTAAGTGGAGACAGAATTGCTTTCTATTGATGCACGTGTCAATTTTGTAGTTAGTACATTTTGTAGGTGCCTGCGTGCAACAGAAGGAAACATTACCTGGTTTTGCACTGTCTTCGCAATTGTTTCTGTTTGAGCGCATTGTTGCAGCCACTGTTTAATTCATCTTATCCAGGGCCTTCTTCTCTTTCCCTGTTGCTTCTGTACCGAGCATGATGTCCTGAAGGCTGCAAACATTTGCTTTCATCAACAAGTCCTTGAAGTCCTGCTCACATTCCTCTAAGAAATCAATCCTGTCTCTGGCATATTGTTTCTTTAAAGTATGTGGGTCTTGTCTAACACAGGTTATCTTTATTTTTATTTATTATTGATTGTTTTCATAGGTTATCTTTAAGAACACCGCATTTATCAAAATATTTGCCAAGGGGGAAAAAAAAGCTGAAGCATTATTTCATAGTGCTGTTTGTTCTTTGAAGTAATAGAAACTGTCTCATCTAATAATTTAACAAATAGAACTAAGTCTTTTCACAAAGGATTACAGTCCTAGAATTCCTTTATTGCCTTCAACTTAATTTAAAGGTGGTGAAAAGAAACATTGTCATGGCTGCACAGTATGATCGACATAACTGTGTCACTGAAGTGTACATTTGGAGATTGTCAAAAGTGAAAATGTGATGTTATCTGTTTATTCATAATAGAAAGTAAACCAACTGATGGAATTACAAAAAGAAACATTGTCTATTGTAAGGATATAGGAAATGTATCATCTTTATACAGATACCCTGTTTTTATATTTTTATATTAGAAGCACTGTGAGAAATGTATTATAGTATATGTTAGTCTGGGTAGACTAGAGAAACAGATTCATAGACACTCATATGTATATAAGAGGTTTATATACAAGAGCAATTGGATATTGAAAAAACAGCCCAGTCCAGATCAAGTCCATAAGTCCGATATTAGCCCATATGTCTGATACCAATCTATAAAGTTCTCTTCAGACTCACGAAACACATGCAATGATGCTGAAAACAGGAAGGTCACAGGTCAGTGGGTGGGAAGTCCTCTGGACCCAGTAGCGTTGTAAGCATCTCAGCACTGGCAGGGGTCTCTACATGGCTTCTCTGGCTCCAGAGGTCTGGTTTCATTAGGGTAGGTCCATGTGGCTTCTCCAGCTCCCAGGGCATAGTGCCATGTGTCTTGTCAATCGAGTGTCTCTCAGGGAGTGAGCAGAGAGAGAAAGTATCTCCCATCTCCAAGGAGGAAAATACAGGAGTTCCCAGAATCCTCAGGAGAAGGCCATGCCCACACAGAGGCCTCATTGGCTGTCATCTGATTGACAGACTAGACTCCATCTCTTCACTCTTAATCCTCTCAAGTCCCAAATTGACACCAGATTATGTAACTACCACATAGTATAATCAATAAAGCTACTTCCTTAAATATAGAATGGGCTGATAAGCATAAGGTCAGCAGTTCAAAACCACCACCTTCTCCATGGGAGAAACGAGGCTTTCTGTGCCTCTAAGGATATACATGCTCAGAAACCCACAGGGGCAGTTCTACTCTGCCCTATAGGGTTGTTGTTAGCTGGAATCGACTCAATGGCAGTAATTTGGGGCTTTGCCTTTTTTTTTTAAATCCTAAAAAACATGAACCATATAATTAATTAGGTCTAATCTTTTGCATATTTGAGCCAAAATGGTGGCTAATGAATGGCAGATGTGCGTGTTTTTGATCTTGGGTTTTTGTTTAATATTTTCCCAGTCCATGGTCTTAGTCTTGGATTTTTATTTGTTCATATTGTTGTTTTGTTTTCCTTCTGACTCATAACTTATGTTCCAAAGTTACATAGTTTGTGTGCACTTGAGTGTCTCTTGAGTGCTCTGAGAGTTTGGTTATGGTAGCCCACCATGTGTAAACAAGCAAACAAGAAGTGAACAGCCCTGTAAAGGCAAGGTGCTAGCTTGCTATAGAATACAAAGATGAGTAAGTTATCTTTCCTGCCATTATAATGTCATTTAATTAGATAATGGAGATATAAAATACACTATATTATGTATTATAATATCTACCACCTCTACCTTTGAGTCAATTCTGATTTGAAATCACAGTGACTGTAGGACAGTCATTCGTTCAGCAAATCATTTAATATATATAAAGACATATGGCTAGACATACGCTTTGTTGAGTTATTTTAAAACATATGTTCCTAAACTTATTTGGCCCTTGTCAGAAACACAATTACTCTGTGACTCCCCTAACAATTAAAAACATTTGTACCGTACCCCATAACCCAGAATAAAGATTGGCATCTGTTTTCACCGCCACTGCCCCCCGCCCCACCCCAGTATTGCCCATTTTGGGAAACACCATTTTAAATATATCTTTCTGATCCAATACAGCTGTGTAAGTTTGCTTTTTTGACTTGATTCTTCAGTCCTCCCGTACTTTGAAACCTTCACAGAATTTTTAAAAAGTAATAATATTACATTTTCCCTCTTTTCATCCACAGGTTTTTGGAAATGCTCCGCCAAATACAATGACAGAGAAGTTTTCCGATCTTCTGCAGTTCACAACACAAGTGTCACGCCTGATGGTGACCGAAATTCGAAGGAGAGCATCAAACAAGTCCACAGGTACCCTTACCGAAGCCGGCCCTCCCGCTGTATTGAAGTGGGTGGTTCTGTAGAAGGGCTGTTAAAATGAAATGGAAGGTTGACATCATTCAGGACAGTGCCCAGTCCCTGGGATTGCGTTTTGTTCCGGTTTTGACAGTCACCGTCTTCTTAGGTCACTCACCCTTCTGTGTAATTCCAGTTCCACAATCGCCGCTGAGTTCTCTCTGACTCACGCCACCCAGCATGTGTCCAAGGAGACGTGTGCTCCCTAGGGTGTGCAGGGCTGATTCTCCAAGCACCTCTAGGTGCATTCAAAATCCCAACCTTTGGGTCAGTAGTTGTGCGTGTCTTTTGCCATCCGAGGGACTGCAAACAAGACTTTGAGTTGATTCCTTCTGAATAAAACCCGAATTCCTTAGTATGGCAGTCAAGGCAAATCCATTATACACACAACACATACATATATGCATTTATACCCACTCTATGTACACATATATGTTTATCCATTATTACATACACATAGATTTCACTTCTACATTTCAGATACGCTGAGCTATTTGAGCCCCCAAACATGTCTCTTCTCTCATTTCCGTCCTTCGTGATGTGTCAGCTTCCCAGTCTGTTTGACTTCTCGAGCGACTGTTCTATGGCGTTTCCTTTCATTGTGCGTTGGCTGAAGGTCTGTGAACAGCAGCCTTGGGACCCCACAAGGCAGTTCTGTTCTGTATCGTTGGCACGCGGCGCAGTCAGTGGCTGGCAACGGGTTTGGCGTTTCTGGTAATCGTTACAGAAGCAGACTCGCAGAGCAGCTGGTCGGGTCAAAGTGCCAACCTTGTGGTTAGCAAGCCAGCGAGCGATGAACCACTGTGCTACAGGGATGCCAAAAAGGGCGGCGGAAGCACCGGGGGCTTTCGTGTACGGTAATCTTGATGGGCCTTTTGTTGCCCGTCTTTCACTTGAGTTCACCTGCATTTCCCCCAAGAAGATTCTCTCCGTTTTTGCTTAGAACTTAAAGATCTAATGCTCGGCATTATGGAAAGACCCTCAGTATTCAGGGTATCGACTTGCACTTGTCTCCATGTGCCTAACAGCTGTGCCTGATGCCCTCCCACGCCGACTGTCCTTTTCGGGATTCTTTTGAGCAACCTCACTTCAGGTTAGTGCTCACATAGTGGGGGAACCTGGGGCTCTAAGCGCCCCTGAGCACTTTCTGTGAAAGTCCCACCTGTGCTTCTGCTTCCAAAAGTACCTGGCACTACCAGTTCCCGAGCTTTTGAGATTCTGCCCTGCAGTTTGGTTATTTTCCCAGTATTTGCTTTATGTTAAGATCCCAGGATCTCACAATCAGTTACTACTGATCTCTGTTCTATTTTCCACCCCCGTTAATGTTCTACATGGCCATCTGTCTGCATCTCATCCCGTCTCGCATTGCAGGAGAGTCGCTTATAGGATGGTACTTTACCAAATCAGGGATCTCCCAGTGAGGCTTGAGCTTTGTGTGGTTCTGAGATTCCTTGATCCCTGTTGCATGAGCTTGTTACGACGGCTTTTGACCAGACTGGCAGGGAGGCCTTTCTAGAGACAGTGTTCATGCCCCCCAGGGGTAGGAGGAGGTAGCATGCCAGTGTCTCTATTGGAGTGGGCATGAGAAGACTTGGGGAAGACCCCCCCTGCCCCCCACCCCCTTGAACTCCCTGGGAGGGGGAGAGAATGACCCATGGCCAGGGGCAGCCTGCCTAGGACATTACTGCCAGTGTGGCCTAGAGTGCTCAGTCAGGCTGCTTGGGAATGTGGTCATGTGAGCCTGCCTTGAGAGGATGGGTCTGGCCGCACGTCTGTAAGAAACTGGACGGGTTTGGGGAAGAGAGTAGGTAGGGGCCTCTGTAGTCACCATTGGCGAGGGGAGTTTTTCTTCATGTTCTCCTTGATCCCTATTCTTAGCCATTTATTTATTTGTTTGTGACATACAACATCTTCCTCACAGCTTTCCTATTTTGCTTGTCTTTATAGGCTGATGCCTTTTTCTTCTGACAACCGTTTTAATGGGCTGTTAGAGGATTTAGAGGAAGAAATGCGGTGCTCACCTTTGCATCTCGAACTAAAACCCATTATGTAGCCTTTGGAGCGTCAGCCCTGGAGCGTCTTAGAACGGGCAGGAAATGCTTCATTCAGAAACAGGACCTTGTATGAATGGTCCTGTGAACCTTTGATGGCGGTCCTTTGCCTTTTGTCCCAGGTCCTGTGAACCTTTGATGGCGGTCCTTTGCCTTTTGTCCCAGGTCCTGTGAACCTTTGATGGCGGTCCTTTGCCTTTTGTCCCAGGTCCTGGAAGGAAGTCCGGGGGAAGGTGGGGAGTCAGTTTGAAGTGGGCTTCTTGCGCCTGTCTTCTCCCTTCTCTACCTGAGACAGGATTGCCTCCTTCGTTATCTTTCCTAGTCTTTACTGCGCCTGTGGAATTGAGAAGTTGGCCTATGAGATTTGGGTGTTACATGCCCCTTTTAGTTACCCTATATACTCGTGTATAAGCTGAATTTTTCGGCACTTTTTTTTAAGACTTGACAATGATTGACTTAAAAACAAAAACAAAACAAAGCAAAAAAGGTCATTGCCAAGGCCAAGGTCACTTAGAGTTTCTTCTAGACCACTTTCTAGAAGCGTTTTTTTGTGTTTAAGTATAAATTTTGTGTTTATATTTAGGCATACGATTCATTTTGAGTTAACTTTTGTTTGTTTTGGTTTGTTTTTGCTTTTTTAAAAATCATTTTATTGGTAGTTCACACAACTTATCACAATCCATACATGCATCAATTGTGTCAAGCACATTTGTACTTTCGTTCCCCTCATCATTCTCAAAACATTTTCTCTCAGCGTAAGCCCCTGGCATCAGCTCCTCATTTTCCCCCCTCCCTATCCGCTCCCCCCTCCCTCTTGAACCCTTGATAATTTATAAAATTATTATTTTGTCATATCTTACACTGTCCAACATCTCCCTTCACCCACTTTTCTGTTGTCTATCCCCCAGGGAGGTGGTTATATGTAGATTCTTGTAATCGGTTCCCCCTTTCCCTCCACCTTCCCTCCACCTTCCCAGTATCACCACTCTCACCACTGGTCCAGAAGGGTTCATCTGTCCTGGATTCCCTGTGTTTCTAGTTCCTCTCTCTGTACCAATGTACATCCTCTGGTCTAGCCAGATTTGTAAGATAGAACTGGGATCGTGATAGTGGGTGGGGAGGAAGCATTTAGGAACTAGAGGAGAGTTGTATGTTTCATCGTTTCAGCATATTTTTAATAAAGTTTTTGTGGTAAGCTTAGGTGCCTTGGCTGATAGTCGGGTCAGCTGATCCTCGAGTCTATACGGTATTTTAAACAGACTGTGAAGGGAAGTTGTGTTCAGTCTGTCTCACATTGACTCCTGTTGTGAGCATCCCTAGATTAGGAGAACGAAAGGTGCAATTCCCAGAGCTTGCTTACCTTTACTTCTCTAAATCTGTCCTTTCAAATACCTTATCTCTGTGATTGTAATCATGTATTTGACTACCTTGGAGATTTGTTTCCTTAACTTCCTTTGATTTTATATCCTTTGGTCACGTTTTAGGCATATACTGTAAGGTGCCATAAATGGAGGTCAAGTTGCCTTATTGTTAGTAATAGTTGTACAAGTGTTTTATTTTGAACCTTTTATTTATTTTTTCTTCTTATTCTTTTTTATTTTTTTTTAAACATTTTATTAGGGGCTCATTTGAGATGATTATTGACTCACAGGAAATTGTAGAATAATACTGAAAGTCCTTTATGCCCTTCATCTACCTTCCTCAATGGCGATATCTTGTTACCTTGGTATTTGTTAGATCTACGTATTTTTTCATATTGTCATTCCACACAGTTTTTTAGGCTTAAACATTTGAGAGTCCATTAGCTTCTGAGTCTTACAAAATTCCATTCCAGAGGTATAGCCGTCACATTCTCCAGAGAACCTCTAGGAGACCCTCTGGCACATGTCCTCACACCATTTACTGTATGTTCAGCCAACTTCTACACTTACTTACACGATACTGCATGTATCTTGTTTACTTGTTTAATTCTATTCCCTGTTGTGTTCACCCCACTATCACTGGCCTGTAGAAAACTAGCTGTCACAAATTAGGTGTTCGATAAGCTTTACTGATGTGTTTGACATGGGATTTCTGTCTGCCTTTCCTTAGTCCCCTGAGGAACGGAGGCCTGTTCGGATGGCCGGCCTTCCTGATGAGGAACGGAGCAGGCCGCTTCTGGAGTATGTTCCTAGCATGAAAGGCCCTGCTCCTGGGAGCCTTGAATCCTTTCTTTCAGCTTTAATCTGGAGGTGTCTTTTGGTCAATGTTCTAATCAAAAAAGATCAAAAGATTCTTGATGTTTCGCTTTTCCAGTCAACCTTGTGTTCTCATCCCTGGCCCTAGAACATATACCTCTCATCGATCGCTCCCTTATTTTCTAATTCGTCTTGTAGGGAGTTACCACTGGAAAACATGGTTTTCACTTTCTCATTTTCTACAAAAGAGGTGAAGTGAGTGCTCTGCCATTCTTTTGGCTAGTACTTACTCTGCATGAAGACGGGATTGTTTTTCTAGGACCCTTCTGAACTTGTTGTTTTGTGTGTTACCTAATAACCACTCACACAGCCGTTCCCTGCATTAAGTCAGTGCCACTATGGATTGCAAATATCGCAGTCAGAACCATTTTGAAATTCTCATTGAAAGCTACCTGCCAGAAGGGAGCCAGAAGGGAGCCAGAAGGGAGAACTTTAAAGCAGCTTTCAAAAGGCGAGGTGGAGATGTGAACTGGTGCACCACCATCCGCAGCGCAGCTTCACGGTGCTTCCGCTCCTCAGTCCCCTCTCTGTTGTCACCTTCATGTGGTTTTGGTTAAAGTATGTAATGACTATCTATGAATTGTAGAAAAGATAGAATTTTGTGGCCTTATTATATAAAAAGTGTACCTTAAGATATTTTTTCCACACTGTCTCTACTTATTAAATT